GATGCCAGAGCGAGATGTTACGTCATATACAACAATGATATCAGTTTTGGCATCAAGAAATGATTTAGAAAATGTGAAGGATCTGTTTGATTCTATGCCATTACGAACTATAGCCTCTTGGAACTCTATGAATATGGAAAATGCCACGAATGGGCAAATGGCCATTGTTTTCTTTGAGATGCCCGAGTGGGACTGCTGCTCGTGGAACAGCCTCTTGGGTGCGATTGCAGAATCTGGGAGGATCAACGATGCAATCATGATATTTCAGAGAATCCCTTTCAAAGACACAACCTAATGATCACAGCAATTGGTTCTCGCGGCCATATCCGTGAGGCTCAAGCTCTCTTCGCCATGATGCCACAGAGAAACCCTGTCTTCTGGAGCACAATGATCAGAGCTTATGCACAGCAGGTATTGGCCATGGATGCAAAGATCATGTTTGATTCCATAGAGTCACACAACACAGTCACATGGAACTCACTCCCTGGCTGCCTACCTCGTGAGTGATTGAGTGGGCAATGCTAGAAAAGTGTTTGATTCCATGCCTGATCAAGATGCAGTATTGTAGACATCGATGATCTCCACCCATGCCATACGGGGCCAGATGTGCACTCTTCAATTCCATGCCGTGGTGTGTTGCGGCGGCATGGAATGCGATCATCTCTAGCTACATGAGGAGCAGCAATCTTGATGAGGCGCAGCTCCTCTTTGGTCTGATGCCCCATCACAACGCCCTGACGATCAATGCCATGGTCACAGCACTCGCATTTGGTGGCAGGATTGAGCAGGCCAAGCTCCTCTTTGATCGATTCACATCGCCCAACTCCGCAATCTCCATACTCGAGGACTGGGTGAGGCATACGCTCAGTCTAGGAGGATCAAGGAAGCCAGGGTGCTGTTTGATCGCTTGAGCCCAGAGAGTTGGGACTGTAGCGCGATCAGATTGATCATTGATGCATATGCCTGGATTGTGGATGTCATGGAGGTGCGGCAAATCTTCTCTCAAATCGAGCTACAATGCCATGATTGCAGCATTGGCCTCGAATAGGCATTTGCGCAAGACTCCTCTCTAGTGCGAGAGAGCAA